AAAAGAATAAATCTCAGTAAAATTAGAAACAATACCAATGTATAAATGAATGCTTCTAAACTATAAATCAAGCCATAAGAGGCAGAAATGCAGACATGTGGTAAGAAATAAATTACAAGTTAACACTTGGGGTCATAAGTTGATATCAGCTGATAAATATCATGAAATTACCAAAGTAAAACCCAATCACAAGTTTGTTACCGTGTCGCATAAGAGAAAGTCTAACCTAAGATATACCCATGTGTACTCTTACTACCAAGCAATTGCACAGTTATAAGTCTAGTAATTACATTGTATTTACTTAAATAATGTCTCTTTATTATGATCTAATTACCCTACTACTAAACTCTGTACACACTGGAAACGATTCACTCGTTGCACACTGCTGTACGATGCCTGGTTGCTTGTAGACATTCCAAGTTCTGGTTGCCTAGATGACCCTCTAATGTGTTCACATCCAGGTCATATGTCATATACAGGTCCTCGTCTAGAAGAACTTGCGTCAAGTTTATCTTGGGCCCTGCCCACTTTTGATCACCAGCTTTTATTTCGCCCGTATTGGCTCAAAGTCGCTGAATGTGATTCACTTTCTTTAGTTTCTTGTTGCAATGTTGGCCCAATTGCTTCCAGTGTGTACACAGCTTGACACTGCATTACAAAAGGATTCAAATACTTAAACTCATTAGCTTTAATTTTATGTATGCTGCACGTACTGCCTTCCTGGCTTGCACACCTATTTGTTAGCATTTCTGGGGCCCACCCCGCATCCCCCTACTCTCGCCTCTTTCATATGTGTAACAGCAACATCCTAAACCTGGGAGGCACCGCTTATCCTGAATAAGCCCTTTCTCGAGCCGCTCTCTGACCTAGATCATTTTCTTGTGTGAATGTGTGTGTGAATGGGTGAATGACTGGATGTGTAAAGCGCCTTGGGGTCCTTAGGGACTAGTAAAGTGCTATATAAATACAGACCATTTACCATTTACCATTCTTCTCATGAGCCTGTCACCTTTATTATCAATAAAAAGTGTTAAACCATGTTTGAGTTGTGTTATCTGCTAGCGAATAGCATGCTAACATGCCACCAGCTAAAACGGAGCCACAAGCACAATCATGTCAGTGTTTTACCTCCACTGAGTTCTGGGCTTCACTCATCTTTGCAACTGTGGTCTGAAACTCTCCAATGAAGTCATGTCCTCCATCATTATCGTAGTCATAACACAGCACCTGTAATTGTGCAGAATGCATCACATCATGCTAGTCTTTTCTTTCACACGGGCAGCTTATAAATAAAAGCGGAAACTCAAGTGGTTATGTGGTTTCTGGTATCTGTGTCCTACTTTCACTTCTGTACTGACTCTTCACTTCTTTTTTCATTTTTTTTCAAGTTTGACATTCTAGCCAAAGGACACAATAAAATAATTTTTTATTTTTTTCACAGTTGATCTCACCTGTTAGATTCAGTGAAGATTACATTTGATACTAAACATGTCTTCTAATAGAGAAAGTAAAAATTCTTACTA